AATGACCATCGGCGTGAACCAGCCTGAACCGTTGTGACTAAGGAAGAAGTGAGTCTGAGGACTAACCCTTCTGTGTTTAAGTCGATCTTCATCACGATGCGTAACTACGTGGATAAATGGTGGACCGCCATGACTAAAAGCTTTAATCCCGAATACAACCGGCTGAAATTGGCTTTCTGAGACGATATGCTAGGCTTACACGTCTCAACATGGTTCGAGATATAGGTACTAGAGAGAGCGTTGATGTATGGCAGCTGTTTTTAAGTCATGGATGCTATGATTTGGGTATGTTCTTCCAGAAAGGAATGTCTATCAGCTGCTACTTGCCGAATCGACCGAACGAAGATTCTGGGGTCGGTCAAGATTATGCTGAGGCAAGGGTCTAGTAGGACTCTGTTCGAAACTCGTGTTATCTTCTCCCAGGTAGGGACCAGTGGCGGAAGCACTGTCTGAAAGAATAGAGGGTGATCGAAACTAAGTGAATTTTTCAGGCTTTTGACCATCTGTTTCTGTATTTATTATCATTAAGAGTCTGTTTATGCTTTTTCTAACAGAAGAGATGTTGATGTTGCTGTAGACTCGGTTCCTGGAGAATAGTTTGCCTCATAATAGTTTTAAATAGTAGTAAATAAAGCATTTTGCCATCAGCTTCAGAAGTTTTGATAGTGTTCCATTTTTAACATAATATCATATGTTCCGTTCCCTATTCTCTGTGATACCGAATTTTAGGAAGTAATTTATTTTATTGCACGAGTATGTGAAACTTGGTTATATTTAACCCCATTACAAAAGAATTCGGAACCATTTATTAAACGGTATGCATATTGAGGAACAATTTTTGCTATTTTTTCTGATCGACGATGGATGAGTAATAGTTGAGCTAAAGTAGAAAATTTAAATGACGAGTCAGCTGCATTCCTTTAATGTTTCTGATTTCATATCGATTTGGTGTGGGGTACGAAAGACAGGGCGGGGTTGCTGAATTGGTAGAGTGTCGAACTTAAAAAACCGAGGAGTTTCTACTTCGCACCTCGATCGGGTCAATAGTTTTTCTCCTTTTTGAAGTTGATAAATTAGTGCCACTCTGTGTGGAAAAACTGAAGACTACATATAATGCTTGCCACATTGCTGCTGTCGTTTCTGCCTTTAAGACAAGACATTCCTGACTAATTGCATGGAAATAGATATTAGCTTGTACCCTTCTATTAACTACATGAAAAGAAGTGTGCCAAAGTGGCCCTGTTAAGGAAGGCCGCAGTTCTAACGGTATAAACTTTCCCTCCTTCCAACCTAGAAAGGCCAGGTGGATCAACGCGATTCTATTTTTTCAGCACAACCGTTTTGTCAGCGGTGTGTGCTACAGGGAAACATAGTCCCTGACGAAAGGGAAAAAGCAACAAGCTGTCCGCTGCCTCAGATGTTGTTTATTATTACAGTGATATAAAGAAGGATGTGGGGATTTCACCTGTGATCATGTCCCCGGTTAAATATTCAGATGGCGAATCCTGTAAAAGAAGCCATGAATAAAAACGTGGAAAAAAGGCGACAGGCTGAAGACGTAGCTTGGTTCAAAGACTATCAGTGGGGACGGCAGCTAGCGCCGAGTGGACTCGTCCGATTGTAGAAGACCGCAATATCTTCCTCCAGAAAGATGAGAAATTAATTTCTGTCTTATTATTATGACAGTGACGAGATTAGGTTCTTGGTGTCTAGAAGAAACTGTCAGAGAATATGCGGTTGATCCCGAGCTCACTGAAAGCTCATAGAGCCGTCACGTGGAATCCCACTCGGAAGTCTAACGTTCTGTCTAAGACAGTTGGAAAGCGCGAACAGTAACCAAAACCATTTGCCAAGATTTAGTGAAATCGAAAACGATGGCCCCCGATCGCTGACGTGCAGCTGAAGCCGAGCTACACCGGACTACTTGCCACGCGACTGACGGATGACCAGTGGACTTCATCAGTAACCGATTGGTAGGTTAAATTGGAACATCTTGGCGCAGATGAGGTAATTTACAGATATGGAAAGTTGTGGTGACAAATCGCACGAGATCAGCGAACGTGGACATCAAGATTAGTCAGTAGTGATGACCGTTAATTATGAAGAAAGATGACTCAATTGTTGTTGTTGTTATCAACTGTAACAGAGGAAGAGCTAAATTAGAGAAGAGTCGAGTTGAGAAATTATTGAGACAGGCATAATATAGGTAACTGCTGGATACTGGTGTATCAAGCTGATTGATGACACCTTTAAAGATTCATTTTATTTCGTTTCTGTTGAATGGCTGTACAAAGCTAAGAAGTAAAAGAATTCGAAATGCTATTTGTGTGTTCTGTTTATATGCTTGGTATACTTGTAGGAAGAGCCGAGTGATGAACGGGAATGAGCGCTGTTTTGTCCGGCATCGGTCCACCGTTTCTGAATCGGTTGATGTCGACAGTAATTTCATCAAGGACAGGCTGTGTTGTGACGACCTGCCTCGACATGCGGCTGCTGACGAGAACGGCAGAGGGGTTTTGCGTAGCAACTTTTTCGGCTTCTTTTGGGCAGAACTGACCAGAGGCTACGCTCTGGAGAACGACGAAGCGCGCTTTTCTGAAAAACGCAGGAAGGTGTATGCGTTCATTAAGATCCCAAAAGAATTGGAGAAGTTTCTTTTTTATGGCTTTTTGCAATGCACCGATGCGTTTCTGTACATATTCACATTTCTGCCATTGCGCTTCTTCATGGCATTGATGCACCTGATATGGGCGGTGGTATGCCGAAAGAGTACCAGCAGCCTGTCGCCGTCTGAGACTTGCGATCTGGTGCGGGTTCTGATCCTCACCGTCGTGTCATTGTTAATGTCATTCATTGATGTGTCTGTCGTCTACCACCTGGTACGGGGTCAGGCGGTAATTAAGCTATACATCTTCTTCAATATGCTCGAGGTGGCCGACAAGCTGTTTAGTAGCTTCGGTCAGGACATTCTAGATACGTTGTTTTGGACGGCTACCGAGACAGACGTGTCGCAAGATAGAGGCAGCGGCCGCATGCGGGACCACCGCTACTTCGGCACCGTGCCTCATCTTCTGCTGGCGATCGTCTACGTGTTTCTGCACTCGTTGCTGGTGTTGTTGCAGGCGACTACTTTAAATGTTGCGTTCAATTCGCACAACAAAGCACTGCTGACCATCATGATCTCGAACAATTTCGTCGAACTGAAAGGCAGTGTGTTCAAACGGTTCGCCAAGAATAATCTCTTTCAAATGGCATGTTCAGATGTCCGTGAGCGCTTCCACTACTTCGTACTACTGCAGGTAGTTGTGCTACGTAACATGAGCGCTGTCAGCTGGCGAGCTGAGCACTTTTGTGCCCTGTTGCCTGACATCGTGTTGATGTTGTTCGGCGAGGTGTTCGTCGACTGGCTGAAACACGCGTTCATCACCAAGTTCAACGAGATCCCGTTCGACATCTACCGCGACTTCTCGATCACGCTCGCATGCGACGTGGTCACCAGCCGCCAGAAGAACGCCTTCTCTGACCACTTCGATCAGGTGTCTCGGCGTATGGGGTTCATTCCGCTTCCTTTGAGGTAAAGGCACATGAAAACTGCTAAGACGTGTATTTGTACATAAAAAATTGTATAACTTTCAAACGACTATCTGTTCTCGTTTCTTTTTCATTTTGGTCACTGCTGCTTCTTACTCATTATACTGTTTCTTTTAGGGCAAATCAGTCTGCGTCAACATATCTTTTTAGGATGATCTTCGCTAAATGTCATCCCTTGCGTCCTGTCAGATTTTCATTGGGTTATCGTTAGCATGAAGTTCTACCATTCAAAACAGGTCTTAACGGTTATGATAGAAATTAACCAGAGTGCGCTTGATTCGTCCCACTCGACCATGTGCGTGATCTGATGTTATGTTCGTTGTCCGCTTTGCTCTATACTGATGGGAAATGGTTTGGTAGTGGTGGCGAGAAACACGGTGGTGTCATGACCCTATGCGACGTCCCATAAGTCGAGAAAGTCAGTAATCACGGTACATTCGAATATGTCATGCAAGTAATAAAATAATCGAAATCTTCATGACGATCAAAGAGGAATATCTTATTTCGCCTGTATTTTTCGATCGGTGAATGTCATGCGTAAATCGACTCAGGACGCTAATGCTGACGATTATTCTCGCAGGACCGACCACGGTAATACAGAGTAATTCGTTAATACTCTCGTTCTTATTATTCACTGACTGACTCACTGACTGACTCTCTGACTGACTTACTGACTGACTGACTGACTGACTGACTCACTGACTGACTGACTGATAATTTCCAAAGGTTGTATATCCGCTTATTTAGGATGATAAACTATGCGCCGAAGGCGTTTTTTATCATTCACGGTTTTGCGAAGGATAAATCTTCGGATAGCACATCCGTTTGCTTATCAAGTTGATCGTATTTACTTTTAGTGTTTTATACATCCGCATTTTGTGCCAGACCGTCAAGTGGACCAGCCGATTGCGCTGTTTGATTCTAGTGCTGTTGTTCGCCAATTTGGTGCTGTTGAAATTGCTGAACAGCATCGTGCTTCTCGGGAAGGCCGTGCAATGCGTCGATGCGTATCAGCAGGCGCAGGAGCAGGCGAAGAAGAAGCCGACGAATCTGCTCAAGTGCAGAAGTCTGTCCACCGCATCGCACTTGAATTTGATCGAGTTCTCGGACGTTTTGCAACAGACGCATTCGGACGCGGTCCGTTTCGCTGCCTTCGACGGTCGTCTGTTTGTAAAGGAATACTCCTTCAATGCCACTTGCGAGCAGCGTGATGTTAAGCCTACCGATTTGCCCCCTTTGCTGTCGCAGAGGCGTGCCCAAAGCTTGATGACGTTGCCATGCGACAGCAACAGCGCCAAAGAGTTGAACGAACAGGTGAAAACTGAGGTTGAAAGTGGTTCCGAGGAGAAGCTCAGTCAGTCGGTGATCAACGAGTACGAATCCCTGAAGGACGTCGATCGCTATACTTTGTGCAATAACGACCGCATCGAATCCTGAACGTTTTCTCTACATTCCATGTTAAGTGTTTTTTGTTGCGATTTTAAGCTATGTAGTTATATTTGCCAAGTAAATAAAACTTTTTCGCCGGTGCACTCCATATGATGTTAATGACGTAGTTCATTCATGTTTCTAATAAGGTAACAGCTATCTTATATATCTTGCTGATTCCCTAAGTCGTTCTTCACTTCTAGCACAGAGTAATCATTCGGTCCCGTATTTGGAACATCTGCTGCTCCCAACGTCAGTTTAGCACTCAAGGCAGTGAATAGCATGAGATAACTGGAATGTAAACTTTAGGTCTGATGGAGGCGATTAAGAACATCCGCATCTCGCCAGCCACCCATTCTGACTACATTCGACCGTTGCGCCTCTATTTTGATCAGGTAATTAATTTTTTTCCTAAAGCGTAAAGTTCGAGGAATAGCATTCGTTTGCAGGCTCAGCGGAAGCGGGCGTGGGACGTGATCAAATCGCACAACAGGTAGAGAGTTTTTCTCCCGTTCAGCTATATGTAATGAATATATCATAAAGTTGTAGTGGGCAGACAAAGACACATTTATGCATCGTATCTGGGAATTGTGTACAACAGTAGGAGGATAGTAGTGCTAATGTGCATCTTTGTTTTTGATCGTTTCCCTGATTGTAATGAGTATGTTATGGATGCCCGTTATTACCCATGCATATACCTGGTAGGGCAAATGCTCCATGCTTTGTGGCAGGTTTTACGTACCGAGCAATTCGGTCAGGAGCCGATGATATATGCTTGTTGCAATGTCATAATCGAAACTGGTGTAGAGAGACAACGGGCGCAAAAAGTTTCGTTTCAGATTCAACCTGACGAGGACTAAATTAACATCAGTTGTGAGAAATCACATCCTGACTGGAGTTACGACGGATTTCGTTGAGTTGTAGCGAATAAATTCCTTGTTGTACCATGGTTCCTTCTTGGGCGAAAGTTTTTGCTGCAACACGGCGGATTCGTCATGGTGACCAACAGTCGGAAGTTGTAGGGCACCATTTTGTCATGCTCAGATCATCACAGAATTCACGAAGCTAAGACTTGCTCAGTCTGTAAGTTTGGAATCTTTGTGCGATAGTTTTACTATGGGTGTTTGAAACTGTGATATAGCAGCTTTTTCTGGAAAAGTATAAAGGAAGTTTGTATCTCTTATTCATAAAAATAAACCCGATCTTACGGGTTTAATAGCTTACTGCTAGTTATTGATACCGCCTCTAAGAGAAGTAACACTTTCTCTTTTGATACCGCATTGAAGCGGCGTAATCGCACCGTCTCCTTGCTTTTAGTCGCCCGAGGGTCCGTTTAAGCAGGCCATGGCTGCATATTATTTGAGCACTTGCAGTGCGTGGATGCAGAACCGCATTACTAGTCTGTGACTGTTCGAATGTCGGTCTTCCATACAGTTCAGTGATTTGTAATATTCATTCGTATAATTGATGATACCTTTGTATTCTGCATCAAGATGTGGTTAATCAGAAGTGCCGTAATTTTCTGAAGGCGAAGGTCGCTGACCACGTTAGCCTAGAGTCTCCTGTTCCCTTCCAGTCTTGTAGTATCAATATATCTCGAATGGATGAAATAAAAGTTATTTAGTCACGATCTAAATTTACGATATTTTAAGCGCTAATACGACGCTGTGCCAAAATCGTATTGAAAGGCACTAGAGAACAAGCAAACTGGTCATAAAACAGCTCTAGGTTCAACCACAGAACTTAAGAATTACTGCGGTGCCAAAAGTATGACTTTTTTCGCCACGCTGTGAGAATTTTGCTTGAACCGAAGATCTCAACATGTGATACGTGGTATGCCTGTAAATTGCCACCGGGTTTCCAGCAATGGCAGTATTTCGGGGGGAACGTTTAAACCCATGCCGTGGCCACCGCGGCAAAGAATGTGATTTTGCCGCAGCCCGTTATGTTATCGATTGAGAATTGTTGGGCTGCGAGAGTTATATTTAAAACGAAATCGTTTCATGTGACGCTGAGAAGCTGACAACTGAATGTTCTGTTGAAAATCCTGAAAGCTACCGATTCAAGCTTTTGTTGCTTGTGGCTTTTCACTCCCTGAAACATCACCGGCAGAATATAGATCAGCATGGTCGTATTTTGGTGCTCTGTTTCAGCACATGCGATATAGCATTAATGGCATAGAGAGTGAGGATTGTCGGTGTTATGGTATTAATGTCTTTTCAGCAGACTGTCTTCCTGTTAATCACAAATTTTACTTTTATGGTAGCCGTACTGCATTTCGCCCAGGGGTATAACGTAATCCGTTGTTTCGGTCGTGGTCAATCGCCCAAGAAGTAGGTGTTAAACTTGCATTCATATTTGTGCACAGTTGTACAAACTTTGCCGTCTGTTAATTCAAAACTCGTGGTCTTTGTGAAGTAAGATATGCCGCTGTTTTGCTACTTGCTGTAAAGCTGTTTTTTCACTTTAGTGTTTCCGCCGTTCTATATCATGAACAGAAAAATGCACTGGTATTCGTTAAGCAGTTTCGTCCTGGTACTTAATACTTTTGATGAACGAGACGACGAAATGTTAAAATGTGTATTTTAGCCGTCTACGTGAATTCCATATCGATTCCGCCCAATTTTACGGGCCCGATTGATTCGGTAGCGAATCCAACCTCTTTGGGCGTGACGTACGAACTGTGTGCCGGCATAGTCGACAAAGATTTGCCCCTTGAGCGAATCATGCAGGAAGAAATCATGGAAGAGTGCGGCTATCAGGTGCCGGTGGAGAAATTAGAGAAAATTACTTCTTGCAGGCAGGGATTTCGACACTTTGTTCCGCGAACGGTCATTTTTTCGACCGCTTTCTTTTTTAGGTCAGGCGTTGGCTTCGCAGGGGCGTCTCAGACTTACTTCTACTCAGCGATTGACGATAGTATGAAGATTTCAGACGGTGGAGGCAATCCATTAGAATGTGAATCCATCGAGGTGGTTCACATGCCGATAGACGACGCTGAGGCATTTCTGCTCGACGAGAAAATTAATAAACCACCCGGCATTCTTTTTGGTGTTATGTGGTTTTTGAAGTTCAAACTGCCACAGATAGCGTCTGCGAAAGTTTGAAAAAAGTTAACTTTTGATGTGTTATGTCTATAAATCTTTATGTCAGGTTCGCTTAAATGGCCTAAAATGTTTATAATTTATTATTTTCCTTGGAACCCGTTTATGTTTGTAATTTTTCGATGGAAGATCATGAACTTTGGTGCCATTCTTTCCAAAGTTTTGTTTTTGTTGCTGTTTAAAGATGCTGATTACTGTTTATATGCAGAATTGTGTTGATGCATATATTTGATTGCAGTGTTGATGGTTGGCGTGTAAAATATTTTGTTTTGAAGTGTCCTGATAGAAGTCACCATCATATGACCAAAGAGGTCCATCGTAACATTCATACAGAAAAATGATCTATGGGGCAAAATCTTCGAATTGACTGTTCGTATCATGGCTATGGTTTGTTGTACGTCAGAACGGGACTGCCAAATATTGACTTTATGCTAAATGATGACTCTCGTTAGACTTTGATTGTGATTTCATTTAGGAAGCGATCAAACTAGTTTTGCTTGTTGCAGAGTACAAATATAAAGTCTTCACCCTTAGTTAGCGAACGAGTCACAGCGGTAGTATTTGTTTGTTAAACTTTTCACATTGTTTCCATACTCTTGTTTGGTGCATGCCTTCTTAAACGCTATCATTTCAATGTAACATCATAGTTTAGAATATCTTTTGCAAATTATCTGTGATTATTCCCTTACGTACAAAAGCGGCGATTTCATAATCATGTATCCCGCTGAGATCGGATAATGGCCATATCGGTCTTCCAAGGCGTACCTTTGGTAGGTTTTTAGAGGATTTTTATCCAACCCGTCTATGCGTTTGAAAACATTTGCTACCAGAACTGCAGCTTCCCTTGTAAACATTTTTTATAAATTAGAATAGGAAGTCAATTTCTGAGCTGCTTGAGGGTTTTGTCACCATGATGTTCAACACATTTCGGCAATTCTTTGAACCATCACATCTTTTACCGAATATAGCGTATGATGTGCTTGTTGTGCCGTCTGCTCTGCATTACCTCTGGCCCGTTTTGTGCAGAACAGCATCAGCATAGTGCCTCGAAATCCTACCAAAAGCCCGGTAATCGACCTTCTTCGATGCAGCCAGCGTACAGAATGGGCAATTGTCCGTTTTGCAAGGAAATTTCTGGAGGATGTCACTCGATCAAACCGGTCACGAGGGCTACCACACAACTTAATACGATAGCTTGTTGTCAGTGCTTTATTAATCAGATTAAATACAGCACATAAAACAGAAATTATCTGATTTATTTACAAATATTATTTAGACGCCACGTAACTCGCCGCCAATCGCACTTATGAAAGAAATTTGCATTCAGTGTAACAATGACGAGCGTTTCGCGCTTGGTATGCTCTGACGAAGCCGATCATGAACTGAAGAATCGATTCCAGCTTCTTCTTTGACCCCTGGTTGAAAATGTTTGATTTTCCGCAGGCCACGTCTATCAGGAGATCAATTTGGACCTTGGCATTATTATCAAGGCATTTCCGCAAAATCTGGTCGATGTGAGGCACAATGGCCTGCGATCTGCAAACATAGCATTAGGCTCCGGTAAAATGCAACAATGCTCAATTTAGAACAAGCCACCCGGGGGCGTTCAAGAATTAGAAAATCAGCGGATTAAACGTAAAGTGAAATTTAATGCTTCGCAAGATTCAAAAAAACGTACTTTTTGGACAGGACATGTGAAAAAAACCATGCTAAAATTAAACTAAACATGACTTTAAAAAAATTAATCGCGAAAAAAATATAAAAGTGCCGTAGCCGGTCTAATGATACAAAAACCAGAACATTCATTGCGGCTAAATCAGTTTTACGTATGTAAGAAGGCAATTTGGTGCCCCCTTGTTGACCATCTGCTTAACGAGCATATTTCTGCATGAAATAAGGTGAACAGCTTTAAAGTAGTATCCACAAAAGCGACGGTAAGTACCTACTGTATCGTAGGCTGTTAAGTAGTCTATTGCGGACCTAATTTACTATTACATGGCATATTAACACAGAGGCACGGATTCGGCCTTATCGAACATACTCTTAAATGGATATTCTCGTTGAACTGCTTTGTTATGTGTGAAGTATCACTGCTGTGGTTCTGTGACGTTTACTCTATTATTAGTCTATGCATTTTCAGATTCGCTCGTTGGTCGAAACCAATTAACAGTTTAGAAAGCTACCAGCTTGAGGCTAAAAATCTTTGTTACCACGGCGCCTCCTGAATGCTTAATAGCGTTCTCTCGGCATCGACGAGATTATATGCAGCAGGAAGCCACGGTAATCAGACATGCAGAAGTAATATGGACAACATCAAAGAAATTAATTCAAGATAAACAGTTTGAAAGTCAGACGGC